TTTTTTAATAAAGTTTCTCCGAAAAGAAGGTAAAAGTAACGAAGTAATAAACACGTCATTTCTTTTGAAATAGAACTTGATACAGAGAAAAAACAATCAAACCTTTAGAGCAGTCTGTTTCCGTAATATATCATTAGACTTGTACATTACTGCTGCAATCCAGATTGCGACAAAGAAACCTGTAATGCCTTCAACAATGTCAGATTACTATTAACATAAAAGAAGCAAAGACAACAAAGCAAAGAACAATGCACGTATATGAAAAAGTTTTGGTTCACCACCATTTTGATGGGAAGAACTTAAAATTATGATACATGGATTTTGTCTTAAGAACTACTCTAGCCAAAAGAAGCACAAAGTAGAACTATCAAAAATCTCCATTATGCTAACCTTGTAGTGATCGAGAACTTATGTATGTAATTAATGTAAAAGCAAAAAATGACAACTGTACCAGCTGAATGTTAATAGAAAACAATAGCATAGAAAGTACTGTGATAATATACGCAACGTGAAGATGAAACAGGAAGTGATTTGCAATGACTTCAGTTAATAAAAGGGAAATTTCTAAGAGAAACAAGCATGAAATAGAAAATTTATGAAAATCCCAAAAAAAATCATAAGTCTACAACCGCCAACAAAAATGGTCACTAACTCAAGCTATATCAATAAAACAAAGCTCCAACTATAAAACACTACAAAACTACGAAGCATGGACACGCACACGACGACACGGACACGACAAAACCCAAAAAAATAGGACACGACGACACGGCTAGATTTTTTTAATATTATTATTATATATAGATAAATTTATAAAATTCAAACAACAAACTAAAATGTAATCCTCAAACACAAAATACTAAGCTACTAACAAGTCTAACATTACAAACATATAAAAATTCAGAGAGAGAGAGAGAGGATTCGGAGAGAGAACGAGATCGCAAGAGGGGGAGAGAGAGATGAGAGGCTGCCACTCGATCGATAGGTCTAGGGTTTGGGTTTTTTTGATGGTATAGGGGTATTTCGGGTGAATTCGCGTGTCGAGAATGAATCGGGCAGAATTCGGCAAGTCGAGAACGTGTCGAGACGCGTGTCGGGGCGTTGACTGCGTGTTGAAAGCGTGTCGAATGCGTGTCGCGTCCGACACACGACGGGCACGGACTCGGGGCCAAGAATGGAGTGTCGGTGCTTCATAGCTACAAAATTTCCAAGTTTTAATAATATCGTATCAGACTTGTACCTATGTGAGTTGCAGTTCTCCTACAAATCCTCCAGGCTACTAAGTATTCATTAACAGCCTACAACTTCGCAGTTCTCCATTTCAGTCTGTTGCATGGAAACTGGTACAAGCACCAATAATAGTATGGGACATGACAAATTTGTAAAAAAAAAGGGTACAGGAAGATGGCTATATAAATATTCACACACACATATATGTAGATACATATTACATATTGAAATTAATAGCTTACATGAGATCAACATTGTTTTTCCTTTACATGTTACGAGAATTAAATTCCTCTAATATTTTTATGTTTCTTTTATTTGTGGATTATAAATTGGAAAACAGCTCGTTTTTGAACTAGACAATACGTCTTTAAAACTATAGTTTGGGACCCGACCTATGTCCAACAAGTTTCAGGAAGCGGATTTGAAGTGTAGGATATAAGAAGTGTATAGCAAGTGTTTAAAATAAAACATATATTGTATAATTGAGTACATGCCCGAATAAGTGTGTGCATAAATGGAAGGAGTGTCCAAGGAGTTTTGATATGGTATAAATACACGTCAGGTACGGCTTCAAATAGAAGTAGCCAAGTATGATAAATTTCAGTTATGACAAAAACTTCTTGTTATATTCTATTGGTATTATATGCTTTTACTACTAACTAGGATGATATGTTAGAACGATAAAATATACTCATTTACATCAATATTATAGTTTATTCACAGCAAAGAAAACATATATAAAAATCCAATCTGTAAGTATTACACTATTGTCAAAAAGAAATATGGTTATTGATTCTACACAAGCATCCAAGAAAAAAATTACTAGTATATTTGTAAAATATTGAAAATTAAGTACATGAGTAATCCTAGAGATAAAAGCAGAGAGTAACTAGTTAACATGAATTCATGAAGAGTATAAATTAAAAATAGAGAAAGGGGAAAATGGAAGAGGCAAAATGAGAAAACAAACATCTCTCTCATGAGAAAGGGGAGGATGGATCTTAACCC